ATAATATTAATTCCATAAAACGAAAAGACAGAACTTCATAGTAAATAAAGTAGAACAAAGTGATAGTTCTTGCAAATTCAGAGTTAATATAAACAAATAATTTTAGTGAATTTGACTTTTGACTTTATGAACTTTTCAGAAAACTCACTAACAAATCATCCAATATATTGACTTCTAGATTGTTCAGTTTCTGATATGTGTTTATAAATTAAAATTTATGAATTTCATGGCTAATTCATTTCAATGTATGACAAAAACCACTGCAATGATGTAAAGTAATTAGCCTCCAACTAATAAAAATAAATGGAAAAAAATAAAATAAATAGCACTTCTTTACAGCATTTAAGATGGAATTTTATCACCAAAGCCTTGACTAATAAACAACTTTTCTAGGAAATGGACTCTCATATTTATAACATCTTCCATGTACCTAGATTGGTACTTGGCATTTCATGGGAGCTATCACATTAAAGAGGTGGGTGCTCCTGTTTATGGTGCTTCCCAGGTGGCACACTGGTAAAGAACCCGCCTGCCAATGTGGGGAGNCGGTCTTAGGAACATCCTGCCCCAGAGGAGTGTGCCGGCCACAACCCACCTACACCGAGACGTCAGTGTCAGTCATCCTCGTCCAGAGTCCCCCGTCTGCCCTCGCCTTCACGCCTGCCTGGCATTGTCCGTTCTATACGTTTGTATCGAACCTGCCCGGGGGGCCCAGCGGCATCTTCCCTGATCGGGGATTGATCGAAAACACCCCGTCCCCTGCCTCATCGGCAGGTGGATCCTTAACCACTGGACCACCGGGCAGGGAAGTCCCTTCACAGCCTTCTAAAATCATCTACCCTGAAACATGAAATGTTGCCATCCAAATCATTGGACCGTCACGACTGAAATGAAGGAAAATAGGTTCGTTAAAGAAAGTCTCAACTCCTCAGGGCTTGCCTTAGAACCACAAAGGCATATCTCTCTCTCTCTCTCCCTCTCTCTCTCTCTCTCTCTCTCCCTCCCTCCTTCTCTCTCTCTCTCTCTCTCTCCCCCACAGTTTAAGTTGCTGTCTCACATTAGCTCCCTCCGATTGCCCTCAGAGCATTCAGGCCCAGTCCTTACCCTAAGCAATGCTGCCCGCTCCTCTCCGTTCAGCCCCCACTTGCTGGTGGCGGATGCGAGCGTCTGGGGTACTTGTCTGTTGGGAGTTGCTTTTAGGCATTTAATCTGTGGGTTTTATTTATTTTTCCTCCAGGTTAGGGTGCTCTCTGAGATTCAAAAACTTCCCCCAGACCAGCCCAGTGAGAGGGCTTCCTGGTGTTTGGAAACTTTCTCTATTAGGACTCCTTTCCCGGGACAGATCTCCATCCCTAACTCTATTGTCTCTCTTTTTATCTTTTATATTTTGTCCTACCTCCTTTCAAAGACAATGGGCCGCTTTTCTGGGTGCCTGATGTCCTCTGCTAGTGACCAGAAGTTGTCTTGTGGAGTTTGCTCAGTGGTCAAATGATCTTTCGATGAATTTGTGGGGGAGAAAGTGGTCTCCCCATCCTATTCCTCCACCACCTTAGCTCCTCTCTGTAATGTGATTTTAAACTTTTTACCAGATTTTAGTCATTTCATTTAAATAATTAAGATAAATCAGAGGAAAACAAGTCTGAAATAAAGATTGTAGACTTTTTAATAGAAATTTTATTTTTTAATTACTAACTCAAACAGTAGTCAACTTAGTTTATTGCCAATAGTGCAGTTCTATAAAGAAACAATATTTAGAACTAATATATTCATTTTTATTTTGAATGAATGCTCCTAAATATTAAATATATTCCAAATATTGCTTTTATAAAATAAATTATCTTGCTAAACCTACTAATTATGCAACTGAAAAGATAAATTCCATATATACCTGAATCATTGTAGGTTATAACTTAATGGGTCTGGAATTTATAAGGTTTTATTTTTTACTTAAATTTTTTTATAAAAAATTGTGTGTTTGTACATCATTTAGAGTTAGCAGAAATCAGATGGAACACCTGTATTGTCTAGGGTAGCATTCTACATTCACCATACAGGGCATATGGCAGGTATCAAACACAAATACATACCTCTAGAGTATATGCCTTAGAAAACCTGGTGGAATGCATGTAAAGGTGACTATGATATATGGGTTTCTTTACATCTATCCTTATTTTATCTTTTATAAAAGCTTAAATTATTTTCAAGCAATGCTATTTAATCATTTTTAGTAAATAAAATCATTTGCAGCCTCACAATTCATAGCCATAAATTGCTGAGAAAAATTATCCAGTATTATTGGAAAAAAAAATAATCTTAGCAGTTTGATTTTAGTTCCAACCACAAAGGTTAAATTTCCCTTTCACATTCACTCCTGTGGATCTCTAGAAACAGTGTAGTGGTGGAGATTGCAGCTTTGAGGTCAGACTGCTGTGGTGGAATGCTTGCAGAGAGGACATGTTATAGATAGCCTGTAGTTGCAGTTTCAAAACCAGACATGGTATATAGATAACCTGTAGTTGCAGTTTCAAAACCAGGTCAAGCCAAAAGAATAACCGAGGCTGCTTGTCACATAGAGACTCCCGAATTTCAGTGCAGAGACCCAGTGATTTGTCGTTTCCCCACACAACCCAGCTGATCAGGGCAGTTGGAAAACCTCGTGTTTAATACAGTCTCAATTGGCAGAGTAGCTAAGCTCAATTGAAACCTTCTGTGAAGGCTCAGGCAGTAAAGAATCTGCCTGCAATGCAGAAGCCGCAGGAGACGTGGGTTTGATCCTGGGTTGGGAAGATCCCCTGGAGAAGGGCATGGCAACCCACTCTAGTATGCTTGCTTGGAGAATTCCAGGGACACAGGAGTCTGCCCGGCTACAGTCCATAGGGTCGCAAGGAGTCAGGCACGACTAAAGCGACTTAGCACACATACAGTGTGTAGTTTATACATAGTTTATACTCTAGTGGGTGCTGAAGAGGCATGGGTAAGCACAGGAGTCCTGCCTAGTTATATGTTACTGTTTAATCACTTGTATGTTAACTGCCATAAAAATAGAATAGAGGCTTATCAAAGTGCATTAAACATCAAATTAAAAAAGAAAAAAATTCTTGCTTGAAGTGTCTGTGCTGTAATAGGGTTACAACTTCTTGTAAAGTGTTGCTTGCCTTTGATTATAGTGTAGAGGCACTGTCTCACTTTCAGCTGCTATAACAGAATACCATAGACTGGGTGGTTTATCAACAGAAACTTAGCAGGGTACTGGTAGTTTCCATGTCTGGTGAAAGCTCACTTCCTGGTTCACAAATGGACATTTTCTGGCTGTGTCCTCATTTGGCAGAAGAGGCAAGGGAACACTCGGGGGTCTCTTGTATAGGGTCACTAATCCCATCCACTAGGGGTCCGCTACCCAGGCTGAATCACTTTCCCAAAGCCTCCACTTCCAAATACCATTCCGTTGGAAATTAACTTTCAACATAAAAAGTTTTGGGGGGACACAAGCATTTAGTCTACAGCCTGCACCTTGGTATATCACACTCAAGCCGGGGACTCAATACGAATCCATCTCAGAATTAGAATCAGAATACATAGTATATTGTGTCTTATATGTGTTCTCTGCGAGAAAAAAAATTTTTTTTTCTGGTTTTTAGGATATTATGGCATATTCATGACACAGTTTCACTTCATTAATAGCTCTTCCAGTAACTGTTTATTTTTTTATCATTTCACTTTATTCTACTGTTATTTCATCTCTTTTTGTAATATATCAGTGGTTTGATGTGGTCTTTACAACCTAATTTAAAATTACTGTAAGATTTTGTGGTTATGGGAGATAATTTTATTGATGTATTTTATAGCTAATTATATATTGACACAGTCTAGTATCATATTTAGGCTAATTTTGAAATATAATTGCTAGGATATCCAAGGTGATTGGCTGTTGCCTAAAGCTATCATTTTTGAAATACAGCTTTTACTTGCTAGTTACTACTGCTGCTGCTGCTCTTTAGTCACTAAGTTGTGTCTGATGTTCTGTGACCCCATGGACTGCAGCCCATCAGGCTCCTCTGTCCATGGGATTTCCGAGGCAAGAAGACTGGAGTGGGTTCTCCGGGGGATCTTCCCAACCCAGGGGTTGAACCCACATCTCATGCACTGGCAGGTGGGTTCTTCACCGCTGAGCCACCAGGGAAGCCCTGCTGATTACTACAGCCTTCTTTAATTTGTGGACAAATTATTTTCCATTCTTTCTGTGGAGAAATTGACTTGGAAGCATTTATTAAAGAAATAAGACAATAAAATGTCCCACAGTAGTCTTTGAAGATAAGATGATAAAAACAAAAGATCACAAGGCAGTTCAGAAGGTGGTCACACACTTATTTCCATCAATTAATATGACTAATTGACTTTCTCACTTCTTAACAAGGTTTCACAATTTTAAGGATGGTTTAGTCGTGAAATGCTTTACTTTCTTTTAATTTGAACCTTCTAGGAGGCCTGATGATGTTCAGGTTTCCCTTTGGAAACTTAACCTCTGTTTACAGTAACTAGTTTATGATCTACTGGCTTTCATTTCAAAAAAAAAAAAGAGAGAAACCATAAAAAATACAATAGATGTTGAATCAAATTTTAATGTCATTTTCTTTTGTAAAGGTTGAACTCATGATTGGAAATTGTTTTCTTAGTGACACTTTTTTTTAATCATTTGTGGGTTATAAACAATTATGAATAAAATTAATAAGAAATTACTATTACCCATAATTCTTTTTGATTTCTGTACTTTTTGTGTTTGATCCTAGGAAATACCTATCTATAGAAGGTATGTGTTGTGCATGATGCCCGCCTTCCACCATCATTTTCCTGGAAAAGCACAGTTGGGTTGAGTAGGCTGATCATTTAGATCCTTAGGTTAGTTTTGCTGCATTGAGCTCATTACTGTGTGGAGCAGATGGATGAACAATTTTAATATGAATACTGAACCTTTTCATCCTTTACTTCTGCTTTTTTTACAGAAACCCTCGAAACTCTTATCAGACAAGCAGAAAATTACACCAGCATACTTTTCTGCAACACCTACAGGAACATGGCCCTAGAGGCCGCTGCTTCTACCCAGGAGCTCTTCACCGATGTAGGGCTCTATTTATTTGGTGCGGATGTTAATCCTGAAGAATTTGTAAACAGATTCTTTGACAGTCTTTTCCCGCTGGTCTATAATCATCTCATTAACCCTGGTGTGACTGAGAGTTCCCTGGAATACTCAGAATGCATTCGGACGGCCCGCCGGGACATTAGCCCATTTGGTAATATTCCCAAAAGAGTGCTGGGACAGATGGGGCGGTCGCTGCTGCCCAGTCGCACGTTTCTGCAGGCGCTGAACCTGGGCATTGAAGTCATCAATACCACAGACCATCTGCACTTCTCCAAAGAGTGTGGCAGAGCCCTGCTGAGGATGCAGTACTGCCCACACTGCCAAGGCCTGGCTCTCACTAAGCCTTGCATGGGGTACTGCCTCAACGTCGTGAGAGGCTGCTTGGCACATGTGGCAGAGCTTAACCCACACTGGCATGTGTACATCCGGTCACTGGAAGAGCTGTCGGATGCCATGCGTGGGACCTATGACATTGAACACGTGCTTCTGAACTTCCACTTGCTCGTTAATGATGCTGTGATGCAGGCTCACCTTAATGGACAGAAGTTATCAGAACAGGTAAGCATCCACTCAAAATTTCCTGCTTTCTTAGAGTGCAACAGTTAGCTATATACATAAAGTGTGTTGATTATAAGCACATCATTATATACTTTAAATTATGGCAGCTTAACAATACTTTAGGAAACAGTAGGAGAATGCATGGGTTGTCATATTGTCATATCCAATTCTAAATATATTTTACATGACACATCAAAATTTTGGTTAGCTAAAATACCAGTTTCTCCTCTAAGTAGTGGCCTCCTTATAGGGTTAGTTCAGTGAGGTAAAGAGGGCTTGGTTTTAAAATCAGGACCAGCATAAATTTGATTCTGCACTCTTCCATTAATTCTCAAGTCCCTTAGCTTCTTTGAGCCTCAGTTTTCTCACTGACAAGAAGAAAATAGTAACAGATAACTTTTGGAGTATTCTTTTTGGGGAAGATAGGCAATCATTTAGGCATACTGCCTAGTATACCACCTGGTACTCTAAAAATGGATATTATTGGTATTTCAAAATTATTCAGCTTTGAAATAGAAAGCACCATTTCTATAGTCATTAAATGAAGACTTGTCATTAAAAGTGTTTCTTAGGAGACTTTCCAGAACCTGGGACAGTGATGGCGTGATGATTTTTTAAACCATGATGTATATTGCATCATGGTGTTTTGTTCCAGGAAAGCTTTAATAAGCAAAATAATCAAATCAAAGGACATAAGAGTTTCCTATTTCTCTCTCATTCTGTAGAAATATTCTCAGGCACCTTTAGTAATATTTCTCATATCCCATACAGTGAAGTAGAACATGCTGCTGCTCTTTATCCTAGATATTTTGTCCTGAAATAAAATTATACTCCTTCGCAATAACAGAATACATCTCCCCACCCTGGCCCTTATTTTCTGAATTAATAAACACTCTCATTATTGACTATGTAGGTCTGTTCCTTTCGTTAATTTCCAATAGAAATTGGATATGAAAACCTTGATGTCCAAGCATATACACCCCACTTCCTTCCTAACTTTCAAGGTCCTCCTGGCACTGTATGGGCCAGCGCGGTACCTTCATGAAAATTAGAAATGGTACCCTCTTTAGGTGGATGTGACTCGCAGGTAGAGTCACATGTGAGCTGGAGTCCAGCCCGCACTCCTGATTCACTCACCTGGGTATCCTTACACAGCCAACAAGGTTCCCAACCACATACAGTTGTCCTGGTTGTTTTGCAATCCCTCATCGCTTTAGGGAGATCATACATGTACCAGAACTTTTGCAACTTTGCCAACTCAAAATAAAAGACTTCTAAGATTTCATGTACTTCAGTTAATGAGGAATAAGCATGTAGGTCTAGGAAACAAAATATCAATATTATGATATTGCATATCTCCAGAAGAAAAACAAGTACAGGAAATCTGAAATGAAGCCCAGATTTGAATTATTAATTTGGGACAAGCCATCTAAACTTTTGGGGCCAGATTTTTCTTATATATATAGATAGGTAGATAGATACACAGATTTTTAAGATTCTTTTTATTTTGTCTTTTGGAGCCTTGGAGTGCCTTTTTGTATCCTTAAAATCTACCACATAGAAAATTATTGTATGTTATTATATATCTAATTTTTTTTTCAATTTCAAAGGCTAAACTAACATAAGTTTGTAGTTAGATAGACATGTTTTCAGAATTCCCTGGGGGCTCAGACGGTAAAGAATCTGCCTGTAATTCAAGAGACCTGGGTTCGATCCCTGGGTCGGAAGATCCCCTGGAGAAGGGAATAGCGACCCACTCCAGTATTCTTGCCTGGAGAATTCCATGGACAGAGGAGCCTGGAGTGCTATAGACCATGGGATCATGAAGAGTCAGACACAACCTGTTTTCAAATCCTGAGTTTGCTACTCATTATTCATGTGGCCTGAACAAGTTCCTAAAACCCTCTGAGTCTGTTTCATCCTGGGTAAAGAAGGAAATGATGGTTTAAGTGCAATAGGACATGGCTCTGACATTGGCAGCTACTCGGTCCCTGAGAAATTTGCTTTTCTCTTTTCCAATTCTGGGGCCAACCCTGATCAAACCTTGGTGAAGCAGGTTACTTTACTATCTTAAAGGATTAGAGTCATCATCAAACTTGTGTTCTATAAATACATTTTAAGCAACACTTTTGTTATATGAAACTCTTTGGTGGATTTTCAAAGAGCATTCTTTTATTTTAAGCAATTAATTCTATTTTCATATAATAAATGGTCCTATAACTATCTTGAAAAACATCAGTTATTACTAATGAATTGTAGATTCTTTTCCAAATAAAACAACTGAGATTCCTTTTTTAACTTATGGTGACAGAAGGAGAAACTGACTTTAAATTCCTTGAAAATTGACTCATTAATATTTATTTCTGCCAACTTCAAAGTGATTTATAAGCTGTTTATCAAGTTTTGATAACCAGTTCACACATCAGTGAATTTAATAAATTCAAAATAAATTACTGGTGAGCCAGAAAATAATGACTTTCTCACATTCCCAGAGCAATCTCTGAGATCTAGTACTTTCAAATGTTGTCCTCAGTAAATACTTGTATCCATCCACTTTAAGAAATCTGTAGGGGTACCTGATGCATCTTACTTCCGTTAGATGAATTTCAACTGGAAAAAAATTATTGGTTTCCTGAGGAAATCATAAATATCTTCTATTTATAAAACCATTAAAGGAGCAAAATCTAATTTATAAGAGAATGTTTTAATTTTGTAATTGTCTGGGGATTAAGACAAAAGTCTAGTAAAGTATTAACAGAGAGCCATCGAAGTATGGAGATTAAAGTACAAGACCTAATCTTTGAGTACATTTCCCATCTGTTCCTACCATTTACTAGCTGAGTTTGGGAACTTGATTATTTAATCTTTCTTGAGTTTCCTCTTTGGTAAAAAGTGAAGTCGCTCACTCGTGTCTGACTCTTTGCGACCCCATGGACTAGCCTACCAGGTTCCTTCGTCCATGGGATTTTCCAGGCAAGAATACTGAAGTGGGTTGCCATTTCCTTCTCCAGGAGATCTTCCCGACCCAGGGATTGAAGCCAGGTCTCCCGCACTGTAGGCAGACGCTTTACCTTCTGAGCCACCAGGGGAGCTCTCTTTGCTAAAATGGGACAATAACTACCTACATCACAGGGTTCTTTAGAGATTAAAATGAGTTTAGGTTTTCTACGTGGTAACTGTTTAAAGCTTACTAATTATTATTATGTTATATTCTTTATAAATGTATTATTTATTTCTCTGATGTTTTGAATGCTTTTAAGGTGAACACCTCTTTCTTAAATTGTGATATAGAATTCAAAAAATGTTTTAAATGGGCATTTAATGTAAGCAGATAATTGTAAAGATTTTCCTGAAGGAAAAGAAAAACCTAAAATTTTAGAGAGCATTATTTTGAAATCTACAATGAGTTTTACTATTGATGATTTTAACTGCTAATTCTTTGATAAAAATAATTTCATTATGAAGAAATGGCTGAATGATTTTTTTTGGTAGGAAATGATTAAATGATTGCTTGATACTTGATAGGAAATCATGTATTTATTCTGTAAACAAAAACAGTATTTTTAAAGTATACTTCCTATTGATTAAATTTAGAACATTATTTATTACTATAATTGAGTGCTTTAATTTATTAAAGAAATAAGAATGCAGGATCTGGGCTAATTTCAATGTTTCAATATTTTCTAAATGGAATAAATGTTACCAAGAAACTCAACTGAATGTTGATTCTATACCATTTTAGAAATAAAAAGGTTTTTATTCAGCTTTATTGAAATACAGTTGACAAAATAAAATTCTTCTTTAAATATTTGAAAGAATTCAGTAGTGAAATCATCTAGTTATGGGCTTTGGTAAGAGGTTTTTTTTTTAATTATTGATTAAATCTCCTTATTCATTATTGGTGCTGTTCAAGTTTTCTATTTTTTCATGTCTTGGTCTTGGTAGGATCTTTATTTCTGGGAATTTATCCGTTTCTTTCAATTCATTGGCCTTTAATTTTTCATAATAATCTCTTATGGTCCTTTCTATTTCTGTAGTGTCAGTTGTAATATCTCCTCTTTCATTTATAATTTCATTTACTTTAGTCTTCTCTCATTTTTTCCTTATTCTAGCTAAAGATTAGTCATTTTTCTACTCTTTCAAAAATTAGCTCTTAATTTTGTTGATGTCTTCTTGTTTTTTTCTGGTTTCTATTTCATTTATTTCTGCTCTGATCTTTGTTATTCCCGTCTTCCTGGTAATATTTGGTTTAGTTTGTTCTTTATCTTGTTATTTGAGGTATAAAGTTAGGTTGTTTATTTTAGTTCTTTCTTTTTCCTTAACGTTGGTGTTTATCACTATAAACTTTCCTGCTTTTGCTGCATCTCATAAGTTTCGTTACGCTGTGTCCCCACAGCTGGGGGTTGAGAGTACCCCTCCAGAATGTCTGGCACTGTGTTGGGTGTGGAGTTTATAGCAAGTGTGTGTCTCAACCTGTGCTACCTGTTTCCATGTGGGTAATTTTACATTTGCTTGATGTGTAATAGTTACTGAGGTAGTTTCTAAAATAGCTGTATATAGTTGCACATTTCTGTGTTTCTGTGGGAAGAGGGACCTTCCTAGGGAAACTAGGAGTCTCCTATGTCACTATCATGGGAATTGCTGCCACAAAAAGTGTGTGTTTTTAAGCCTGCACTGGGTTCCAAAACATAATTTTTAACAATAGAACTCCCACTCTGTATTTTTAAATAGAAAACCAGTTTTCCACATCTTTTACCTTTGCACCATTAGTAGAGTTTCAGCTGGTTGCATCCAAATTACTTCAGGATGGCTACATACTTCAGTTTTAAAACCTATCAAAATTGAGTTTAAGTGTCTGCATTGTACACACTAATGCACTCTAATTAAACTATGTTTTAGAGAAAAGGGATATCTGATCACAGCTTCTCTATACATCTACACTTATCTGAATCCATAAAATGAAAGCCTAATAAGTTGATATGTGTTTTTAGGTCTCATTG